CTGTGGCTTCATTTAATTTTTTACTTCATGTAAAGCAGGTATTTTGCTATTGGTAATTGATCGTGATCCTCACTGTAACATACACAGAGTGAAAGAGGAAATTCACATAAGACTACTGACAACATCAACAGGGATAGCAGAATAGCAAGCTCTGATAGAACCTACAACTTGCACTGAAAATTAAAGTTAATGTTTTTCTCATCAGCCCATTTGAGCATGTCCTATATTCTATATTTAGAGATAAACAAAGTTGCCTAAGTTAAAATTTTGTGTAAAAACTTGGATGGGATCAATTCTTTTATCAGGACTCAGGGATCAAAATTTTGCGGAAAATGGGGCTCAGGGATCAAAATAACGACAAAAAAATAGGGATCAATGGGTCGCGAATATACCATGTTACGACCCTGCTATTTTATTTATTTATTTATTTATTACAATTTAATGGCAGTAAGTAAGGTAAAGGCCATAAGGACGATTTGTAAAAGAGTTACAGCGACCCCATATAAAAACAAATCATCTTATTCAAGATAAATTATGATACAAAATATAAAAAAATATATATGTATGTATATATATATGTAAAAAAAAGAACACCACCTGTAGCAGTATTACTAATTTAAAAAAAATACAAGCTAATATATATATGCAGCTAAACAATGCCATCTTTAATAATAAGTGTAATAATAATTACTTGTGAAGTGTGTCATCAGTAGTGCAGTAAAAATAACAAATAAATGCTGGTAATTGACGAAAAATTATTTATTGTTAAAGCAATGAGAGTGTTTGCACTATTGTTGTTGTAGACAATCCAGAGACGCCAACCTCTGGAAATCTAAAATCTGCAGACTGTTTCTTTTGCATTAGCTCCCCTCCCCCGAGTATCAATGATCAACCCCCACCCCCCTCCCGCCCCCCATAAGCACAATTAGATCCAGTCCCTAATCGGCTTAGGACATTATATCAAGTCTTACATGAGGTACAGAACCATCATAATTAGCCTTTATGATTGTAATGTGGAAATAATCTTTTTGAGTGATAATTAAATACGTGCGAAAATGCCCCAGAAACCGAACTTTGAATTAAAGGAAATTGGGAGAAAATGGGATAAATTCCAAATTAAAGCACAGAAAAGTTCATAACTCGATTTTATCCGGGAGATTTAGTGACCCGTACGGGAGGAGACTGTTGTCGTATCCCGGGAGACTTGGCATGTATGATAATCACACTTGACAACTAATTGTTTTTAACAGTAAGGTGCAAACATAATCACTTACACTAAAATAGAAATAAAGTATTACATGTAGCAATGTCAATAAGGATGCAGTTGAGGAGAATTGTGCGTATGATGATTTTTGAATATGCGATACCCTCTCATTAATAGCACTGAATTATCCCTGTAAAGAGTACTAAATCATTTATGAAAGTGTTCACATTTATTTGTGTACATGCATGAGGAACAAATACCCATGCAAGGGTGAATTTGTATGAAATGTCCACATACAAGTCATGTTGAAGTTGACCAGTTTCTCAACTGTCAACGTGCATGAGCTTGTTAAGGTCGATGTTATTCCAAAACAAAAACAACTAAGTACTGTCTAAAACACGAAGGAAAATCTCATCCATGTCATTCATGGCAAAACTAAAAGACAGCAGATCGTTTTTCATAACTAAATGATGTGTATTTTATAAATGCGTGCAGCTCATGCAAGATGAAATTATGCTAATTTCAATCACCATCACGGCTTCTTTTTAATTTGGAAAAAAAACATCTCATACGTCTTTCTGTTTCTTCGAAACTTCAAAATTAGTTTCCCTGCAGTTTTTACTGTTTACCTTGTTTTGTTTTAGAGAGACAAACGGAGAAAAAGCTTTAGAACTAACCTCAATAAATTTTGTTTACACGCAGTTGCCGGATTTGCGACGCATTGCGCGAATGGCCATGGCGCGTTGCATCCGAGAAGCAAAGTTTGAAGCAGTACAACGCGACTATATCAAAATATATCAATCTAATTTTTTGGTATGTTATATAAAATTTATCCCCCTTTAACATATGTAAAAACTGAGGTTAAGAAGTGTTAAGCTTTTGCAAACGAAACGGCGAAAGACGGTTAGGTGATATTTAGTGGAAGAAGGAGGTATTCAACACTTTCAAATTAAACTCAAATCTTGGCATTATACGACCAACAGGTTTGACTTATAGGCATACAGACACAAACATATGAGACTGTTTATTGATATTTTTATGAAACGAATTTATCTATTTAACATTGTAGCCTGAAATTACAGAAAGAAATAGGATTTCCGGTTTGCCTTCAAGCGCACCGGAAGCGCGGAAAGAGCGCTCGTGCCAGTCTTACTCCGCATCACACATTAAATGTAAAGCGGAGCGCTCGTTTCATCGCCCAACATTTCTTCGAAGGTCCAAGATGCAATTATCAGTGACGTCATCATATATCCAGAAATGGATATCTCCCCCTTAAAAGTCAAATAGTCGGCCCCTAAAATCCACCAAACATTTGCTTACAAGACAGATTCTGATTTGTCAGTCATTTCTAAAGCCTTTTGAAACTCTGTAGGGAGAGCGATGAAATTCGTTTCTACTTTCCACTACTCGAAGAGTCCGTACGGAAATAACGAAAATTTCTCGGATGGATAATTTACCAAATCTACTTCCCCATGGTGCTCCGCTATTAACATGACAAAGAAATGCGAAAAATCGTTAGACTTGCGATTTTTCGCAACACACGAAAAATCGCAATTTTTGCTGCTGCTTGCCAAGCTGGACATAAGTGATGACAGAAGCCTAGGAACTGGCGTCTACTCATTCAAGGAAGAGTGTAGAACTCAGTAAAGCACAATACGACCAGAGAGTTAAGCATACTACATTGTACGAAGGAGATAGCGTGCTTGTAGGGAATCTGTCGGACCGGGGTCGACCGGGAAAGTTACGTCCCTATTGGGGACAGGAAATCTATGTCGTGACGCAGAAAAGAGTGGACATGCCAGTCTACGAGGTCAGGCCAGAGAATGGAGGTGGAAGGTCCAGAATTCTTACCCGCAACCTCTTACTACCATGCTCTAACTTACCCTTGAGACTCCGATCAGTACAAGCAAAAGTACACAGAAGGGCCCTAGAAAAGTTAGCAAACGGCAGCCTTCCACTGGAGGAATAAATAGCAATACTGACGACGACATGCGAACTTAACACCCCATGACTTAAGGAACGTTTTGAGTCTACAGGTGCCAATGTTAGTGAGGGCTATGAGCATGCACCGGTGCCAGCAGAACAGTACGCCGATCATTTTTATGCTGATGACCCGAACCAGGAACAAGGGACCGAAGAACAGGTGGCTACGCTGATGCTGTGGATAAGGGACTCCCACTTAGGGTGACTTATGATGTACTTGCCTAGACCCTAGGCCTCATTATTGTGAGCAGCCGATGCGTTTCGGGTCACGTGGTTCGAGAAAGTTTTTGAGGCCTAGACAAACTCGGACAGGTGAGACACTTTGTCTCACTTTAAGCGGAGCTTTGAGATCTACTTTGGAGAGCTGTCAATCATTCCTCCTTGTGGCTTTCTCTGTTTTGCATAACTGTCTCGAATTCTCCCAACCCCTCTCGTCTTTATATCAGGCTATGCAAACACGGAAAACGTTTTCTGTTGCTTAAATATTTTACTTGGGATGGTTTTGGGGAAGTAAATGTAATAAAAATTGTAAACGAAAATGTTGTTCAGCAACGATTTTTTTTATAAATGTAACGCTTCCGTAAACATGTCTCACATTATCGGTGTTCTAATCTGTTCATTGTGAAATAAAGCTTACTGTAAAACCCATTGTTGGTCATGGTGGAAAGGCTGACCGGCTGTCCCGAGTCCGTTGGAAAGATATTCTTGACGTGCATAGTTCTTGATGCCTATCGCCGCTTTTGACTGTAAACTTTAAGCCTTGCCTGATCCAGTCTCTCCGCTTTTGGAAGCGTCGACAGTCGGTGTTCCCTCTCTTCATCGGTTTCGTTTACAGTGTAATTGTAGCAGTTTTTCGCTGCCTCTGTACACGTTTGTGGTCGCTGTGTTTACGACGTTCCCTTCGCTGTGGTAAGCGATGTTTTCACTGCTTTGCGGCTGTCTTTTTCGATCCGCTCGCCGATGAATTTTAATTAAGAAGATAACGGAGGGCGTTATATGCGCAAGAAGACCTAGAACCCGCTGTTTTAAATTTTCTATACATTTGTCTGTGAAAAAGTCCTGAGAAAAATTACAGACAAATATGAGGAAAATCTAAAGCAAGCCTTTGGAGAAATTTAAGCACAAGTATGCCCCATAAGATTTTTTATAGACTACGAGTAGTTCCCCATTTATCCTCAGGGATAGTAGAGCGAGCGAAACGCGAGCGAGCGTGAAAATCACCCCACGCGAGAAAGGCGAGACGCGGTGGGGAGAGAGAGAAATGTTTCTCTCTCCCCGCCGCATGTCGCCTTTTCTCGCGTGGGGTGATTTTCACGCGCGCTCTACTATCCC